GCAGGGAGAGGGTCAGCGGCGCTGCCCTCCCTACAATAAAGGTCAGGGCTGGCCCCCACCCCTCTCCCAACTCCATGTGGTTGCCAGAGTCTTGTGGCAGAGCTTAATGCGAGTTTTCCTTTGGAAAGGCTCAGCCCTGCTCCTGGGTGAGTCAGGGAGGGTCGCTCTGAATCAAGGGAGTGCTGAATCCCAACCCAGGGGAGCGGAGAGAGCCTCTGCTCCAGCTCCAGCCCCGAGACCCCCGGGCTCAGGGTGCTGCCCATTGTGTGGTGTCGATTCCTGCCAGCTCCCATCCTGCCCTGAAGGCTCTGGAGAGAGTGGGAACACTCACAGCCTCTCCAGTCCCATGTCCCAGCCCAGGAAAAGCCACAGCTTTGCTGTCTGACAGCAACATTTTGGTTTGTGTATTTTACAGGGACCATGAGAAAGGCAGGAGGGAGCTGCTATCCCTGGAAGTGTCCAAGGCCAGGCTGGATGTGGCTCTGGACAGCCTCTTCTGGGGCATGGTGTCCTGTCCCTGAAGGGTGAGAAAGCAAGAGGGCTCAGAAATAGTTGTGAGCTGGAAATTTCCTCCCTCTGAAAGGGTTGAGGGCTGTGTAAAGGTTCCTGTCTCATCTTTCTGCAAACCACACCACAGAGAGTGGAACTGGACCTCACCTGTTACATCTAGTTTGTCCACTTCTGCTCTGAATCCACCTGCCAGTGGCTTGTCCCAGCAGGATGCTCTGGCTTTCACTCATGGATGGTTTCTGGAAGAGCAGAGGGACTGATAGGGAAATAAATCACCTGGTAAAAGTGAGAGTTAAAGGGAAGCTTGTGCTTGAGATCACAGAATCATGGAGAGGTTGGGGTTGGAAGGGACCTTAAAGTTCATCCAGCTTCACCCCCTGCCGTGAGCAGGGACACCTTCCACTATCCCAGGTTGCTCCAAGCCCTGTCCAACCTGGCCTTGGACACTTCCAGGGATGGGACAGCCACAAGTTCCCCAGGCAATCTGTTCCTTATCCCGAAGTGCAGCCCATGCTCAGGCACAAGTGGAGCTGCCTGCCCCAAAATGTCACCCAGCCCTTCTCCTGCAGCCCAAGCTTTCCCAGAGTTCCCCACAGCTGTGGGGATGCTCCATGGGATACAGATGTGGGATGATGGCTTGCACGATCTAGGGTTTGCATCTCAGCACATCATATCATTCCTGCAAGCAGTTCCTTGTGCTCCCCTCTCTCACCCCACCAGCAGCAGTCCAGAACCTTCCAAAAGGCAGCTGGTGGCTGGGACATGGATGCAGCCTTCAGGAGTTGGTTTTGTCCCAGTAAACCCTGGCTTTAATGTGGATGGTTTCAGCATTCTCTGAACACTGCCAGGGCTGTTTTGAATGTGCAGCCCTTTCCCAGAAGTCAGCACCTTCCCTTTCCAGGGCTTTTCCAAGTGCTTTGAGGCTTCCAGCTTGGCAACTCCCATCTGAAGTCACTGGAGAAGGCATCCCAAGGGAGATGAGCACCACACACCACCCAGGGACCAGAGGGCCCAGGGATCCAGCAGCTGCTGGTGAAACAGGATAAAGAGTGGTGTGTCTGGAAGGAAGTGGTCAAGGATAATCCCTTGCTCACACTGTAGAGGGTTAGGGATAAACTCACTGGGGTGTGGGGTTCAGGAGACCTGGTGTTGGAAGGGCCAGACACTGGGCAGGCTGGAGGACTCTGTCTTCACACCAGGAGAATTCCCAAGGTCTCTCAAGCTCAGAGTGGAGATGCCTTCAGGCTCTTCCAGGAGACCTCTGGCATCAGGCTGCTCATCCTGGGCATCTGCTGCCCACCGTGGGCTCATCTCCTGGCTGGGAGGGCCTGGAAGTGGGAGGTGGGGAAATACTAGGGCAGGTGGAACTTCCCATCCTGTCCTCAGAATGGGGTTGGGAAACCTGCCCAGGCTGCTTCAGCTGCCCTCTGTCCTTCCTTGGCTTTCTTTACTTTGCCCTCCCATCCCTCCCCATCCCCTGCCTTTCTTTCCCTTGTTTTCCACTCTCTTCCCTTGCCTTACCTTCCCATCCCTCCCCCTTCCCTTGTTTTGCCTTCCCATCACTTCCTTTGCCTTCTTTACCTTCCCATCCCTTCCTTTTCTTCCTCTTTCCTTCTTTTCCTCCCCTTCCCTCCCCTCCATCCAGATAAACCACTTGCCCTGCAGGCACAGCTCTTCCACCTGGCATCCTGCACTCATATAAAGAAAAGGGGTTTAAATGACAGATTAAGCCTGTCTGGCTTTATATCACTAAAATCACGTGTGTGCCTAGAATCGCCCATCACTTCCCAAATTAACTGCTCAGTTGAGTTACTTTGTTATCCCAATAATTCGGAACACCAGGTATTGGAACCCCGCTGCTGGAGTTGCTTGGAAGCTGCATTAAAGTTAGAGACACTTTGAGCAATGCATAAATAATGAGCCATCATTAATAATTATTTATGGAAATTCTCTGCTCTCCCTCTGTTGTCGGAGATTGCACAGATGTGATCCAGGTCTGTTTAACCAGGAACAGCCAGGAACTGGATTTTGGTTTGCGTGCATCGAATATCATCACTTTGAGTCACAACACGTCAGTGCTCCGAGCAAGATGCTTGGGCAGAGTAAGGATGAAGTCATGGAAGGAACAAACAGCTGCGAAAATACAGGGATTGGGAAATGCAGCCAACGTCAAACTGCTCTGTGAAGGCATGGCAGGAGTTACAACACAGACACTCGTTGGTATGTGTTTTGGGGAAAAAAAAAAAAAGGAAACTTTTGCTGCATGGAAAGCAGTACAAGAAGAAAGTTTGCTCAGTCTACTGGTGGCAGTATTTTTATTAAAGTTTAATTGATTAATATATTTGGTTATTGATGTTTCAGAGCTCGTGGTAGTCTGCATATCAATGCAGTGGAAAAGAGAACCAGCTCGTGTAATTCCGTGTTAGCCATCCTTTGTTTGGGATAAACTCTTCCAGCTGCACAGGTAACAGGGACCTGTATGTGCAGTGATCACTCCCACCCCACAGACACGGTCAGGAACGTCCCCAGCTCACAAAAATCATTGGACAGCCCTAAAATCCTTCTCCTTCCACTGTCCCGGGAGGATGAGGAAGGGATTGACGGGTGGCTCTGCAGATCCTGCGTGGGGCTGCCGTGCCCTCTGCTGGGCTCTGCATCCAGGCTCAGGCTCCTTCCTTGAGGCCTGAAGCCTGGACATTTTTTTAGGAAAAATAACCAGGAAGGTAATTGTAATTAAAGCAGACCCCACCATCCCTTAGATTCCCTGCGGGACCTCCTGCTGGGAGAGCTGCCCCAAAACGCTTTAATCTGCCCATTTTCCTCCCTGCTTTCCTTTAAAAATCCTTTTTGCTCCTGAGTAAAATGCTGGAGTCAGCTTGGAACAAGCAGATGGAAAGCAACAGGAAAAGCATTCAAAAGCCACTGAAATTCGTCACCAATGCAATATTAAGGAGCAGGCGTTACTTTATTCCAGCGCTGGATGCTCGAGGGATAACTCTGCCTTTACGTGCCCGCCTGCCTCAAATTGCTACAGGTTTTATTACCAGGAGATTCCAATTTATCAGGAAAGTGTTACATGTTCCTGGGCAATTTATTACTTCAGGCGGCCGCAGCGCTCCTGAACTGGCTGGGGTTCCTTCAGCTGCTCCCGAGCTCCCAGGAAAGTTCCTTCTCGTGATGTGCAACAGATTTAGGAGGGAGCGGGGCATTCCCGGGGCTCCGGGAGCGCGCAGCGGGCGAGCCCCGCGGCACCGTCCGCGCCTCGCGCTGGAACCCCCGGCTCGAGCCCCGCGGCCGCGCTCGGTCAGTCGCGGTTCGGTCGCGGTTCAGTCGCGGTTCGGTCGCGGTTCGGTCGCGGTTCAGTCGCGGTTCGGTCGCTACAGCAGCAGGCTAGCGCCATGCCGAGAAGGAGAAAACGCCGACGTGCGCCCCAGGCGGCTCGGTGAGCGCCGGGGAGGGGATGCCGCACCGGTGGCACGGGGAGGGCGGGCAGGGAGACAGAGGGACCAGTCGCTGCTTTTCCTGGGATGCCGGGGGTTCTGTCCCCCGGAGTTCGGGAAAGCACCAGAGCCCCCGGGAAATGCCCAGTAAGTCCCACCGCCTCGCAGGGACCCCCGGCAAGTTCCCCACGCCAGGTCCCCATCAAAGCCCGACGACCGAGTCCTGGAGTAGGGAAAGCTGACTCTCTGCGAGGGCAAAAGCTCCTGACCCTCCAAGGGGACAAAGGTCCTGACTCCTGGAGTAGGGAAAGCTCCTGGCTCTAGGAGAGGGCACAGCTCCTGACCCAGCCGTGGTAGCGCTGTTAGGGCCGGCTGGGGTGGGGAGGGGAAGAAAACGGGACGGGACAGGAGCAAAATGGGCAGAAATAGCCCAAATTTTGTGCTGGGAATGTTGCAAAACGCACGCGCGCATCGCTCCAGCCCGCGCGGGGCGCGCTCCGGGAACGGGCGCGGGAGGGGCGGGGCGAGGAGTTCGGGGGCGGGGCCTGTGCGGTGGGGCGGGGCCTACAGGGCTGCGGGGCTCGCGGGGCTGTGGGCGGGGCTATGGGGTGTTTGTGGCTGTGGGCGGGGCTATGGGGGAGTTTGTGGCTGTGGGCGGGGCTATGGGGGGTTTGTGGTGGTGGGCGGGGCTATGGGGGAGTTTGTG